AGACTATCACTATTAAAAGAGGATCAAGGTACTCTTTTCAAAACCCTTTCCCTGCCTTTTTACTTTGAAGAGTCTTTCAAAATTCTGAGACAGCCAATACTAAGCGAATACTGGGCCATGACACCAACTGCATGCTGACTGTAGTACAACGAAGTAATTTACACAAAACACACTTTAATCATTTTCTAAGCTCCCAATCGCTTAATATTAATTTTTTTCATTAAAATATTAATGAAGTCTCACTGATTTCATTATAGTGAGAGAAAATTATTTAAAACATGACTACAATCATGTCACTGACTAGTCTTGCAGAAGCCTCTCCCTCCCTCCCCCCTCCCCCCAATTTCTCAACTCAGAACAACAGTTACTAGGTTAGTTATCTTGTAAATAAGACTACAGCAAGAGTGAAAAAGAACAACAACTACAAAAAAAACAGGCTTACAGTCTTGCGCTCTCCATTGTGACCGACCACACGGATGATTTCTCCTGTAGGAATACGTTCAATCTGCAATTCCATCTTTACAAGACTTCAGTAAGTAACTCTCTCTATTCTTTAGAGATAGTTCCAATTTCAAAGCACAGCAGCAGAATTCCCTGAATAGCCTGGGAGAACCCTCTGACTACGTGCAATCTTTGGTTCGGAGCCCTGTTGTGAGAGGAAGAGATGAACCCCTGTATTTATACTAAGTGCAAGTGTGACTGGAACAACAATTAAGTTCAAGAACTAGTTTCCACTGGTTACAATGTGTCAAGACAGTTCCAAGAAACCTAAATTTATGTTTGTGTTTAATGCTGCAAACTTTGGTTGATGTTCCATTTTAGTCCCAGCGGGCTTAGAAAAGTCAAGCTGCTGCGGATGCCATTTCATAGGTATTAGCATGAAAGAACCATATGGTAGACTACAAATCTACCCAGAGATTTTATGTAGGAAAGGTTCTTCATCTTGGACTCCAACATACTTTGTTTAAAGAGGCAGAGCAATAGAAAATACCGATTACTCACATGGTAACTTCAGGAAATTCTTCAAAGTACTGTAGAACTAAGCTGTTACTGATAAAATGCTCGAGTATCTAACCAGTTATGAAAAAGGAAATTAACTTGCACTGTATAAAATGTCCTGCCATGAATATGACAAAAAAGCTAGCAAATGCTAGTTTAAGTGCAACTGAAGAGCTTTACTATAGGCAAGTCATCCATTAATGTAGCATCTAGACCTGTTCCCCCCCACCCCCAAAACCAAGTGCAGATACCCTGCAAACAACTGAAAAAAATAGTCCAAATATTAGGTATTTCAAAATTTGCTGTTAGGGGCAATTCCTTTAATCTACTCTGAACAGCTAAGTTTGAGTTTTCAGCTCTTAACTACACACCACTTTCAGATAACCCTCGTCCAAAAAAACCAACCAACACCCCAGGATGTTAAGCTGAAACAGTATTAGCTATTAAATGTCACCTCATACTGCCCTTAGGGGTTACATACAAGATTGGTCCAGGCCAGCAATTATTTCCCCAACCTTTTACTTTCAAAATAATATACGGTTCCATTGAAAAAGCTATTTTATCGTGTTAAAAAAAAAAAAAAAACAGTACTGTCACTACAAATAAAATCACCCTATTCTCAGTAATACAGAGCAATAACTAGCCTATTGTATCTATCCTTCCTATACAGAGAAATTACAAAGATTAATATTCTAGAATGTGAGAGCTGTTTAACTGGAATAACTTCTGTGAAGCAGATATTGGAATAATGTGCAAAAGACATCTCAAAATTGATTACAAGTAAGTGAGAACAAGAGGGAAAAAGAAAAGGATTAAGAAAGTAGAAATAGGCCAAAGAAAAATATAAAAAGGAAAACAAAATAGAAGAGGGAGGAGAGAAACATAGGGTGTCTCTGCAAAGATCAAGCGTTATACTTTAAAAGAGAAACCATAGTTAAAGCACTTATTTGTTAAACAGCACTGAAACAATCCCTTCACAGGGCTGATGTCTGTATTTGACAACTTTCAGTTTCAATCAAAGTATGGTTAACAAGTGAAAATGTTTACTTTTTTATGGCTTTAGTAAATTCTTATTTTTTGCATTCTTCCTGCAGCTTCACGCTTCCTCTCGTCAGTTCACATTCCCACATCCCAAACTTCCTCTGCCTTCATTTTTTTCCTCCAGCGAGTCTTCCAACTTATGCGCCAAACACCCCCATAACAGATTTTCTTGCTACTTTCTAGACTGCATGAGATGCTCTTTTTATCAACCACAGAGACCCTGCAACAGAAAGGTGACAGTTCTTCTACAATACAGGGAGGTGGGATGGAGATATACGCACGCAGGCGCATGCGTGTGTATGCACGTATATGATTTTTTTCAAATTGAAGCTATCGAACAGACAGGTTCGGTAGAGTTCCCCTGAGTAGCTCAGTTTCCAGAGTAACTACAGACAATATACACTGCACAGATTCATCAGGTGAGGTGTGCCTTCACCATGGCTGAACAAAGTAGCCACTGCAAAGCATAGCTTACTCTGCAGGACTGTATACTACAAAACTCATGTGCCTGGGCTTGTCTCTGAAGAAATAAAGTTAAAGAATAAGAGGATGAAATAAAGAAAGCTATACATGTAGAACATCTGGCCTCAAAAACTTCCATCTTTCCACAAAATATTTCTTCCATTCTCTTTCAAGACTGGTATAAGGAGAAAAAAAAAAGTAGATACAAGAAAACAAGAATATTACACGTTTAAAGCATGAGTTGTAAAGCTGTTAATAATACTGGTATTTACATCGTGATGAGTACAAAGAACCCTCAGTGATCTCCATATCTTGTCATTACAAGATAAATTGCTTCATTGCAATCAGATTCCAATAGCGAATTCCCTATATCCAAGGATAGAAAGGGCCACTGGGAATATTCCTGGTAGTAACGCAAACTTCTCAGAAAAGGTATCGTTTCCTCCCTTAAGGAAAACCTAATTCAAGCTTTGTTGAACTGGCCTTTCCACTGCAATATATTAATTAAGGCAAGTTCATCCGAGTGTCATTTAGCGTCCAAGAGCAGAGAAGGAAGTAGTGGTAGTAGAAACAATAGTCTTTATCAAAGTGTATTTTTAGGGTCTAACACACACGCAAGACATCTTAGAAATATTTCCTGTTTACAGAGAGCCGTGCTATCTATGTGCAATGATACACTCCATATCCTGGAGTTAGCTGGGAAATCAGAAATATCTTATATGGAAGTTAAATAAGGCTGCATTGGCTAACATTCCTTGGTAGACATCTTTCCTATTTTAAAATAAATCATGCAACAGCAAGGAATTATGAGGAGTCATGCTTAGATGCCAGTGAATTGATACTAAATTTATAATGAAACAAAAATATTAAAAATATGAAGATAATGTAACAGCTCTTTCAAAAAGACAAAAAAAATTCAAGCTAGGCAACCTGTGAAAAAGTGAATTTGGAAGAACCTTTTTTTAAAATTCAAAAACACGATTTAAATGGTTTAAGCATTTTTAAAAGGAAAATACCAAAAACCTCCTCAATGGAATGAAAACCTCAGTAAATGAGAAGGAAATGGGAAGTACAACAGAAGAGAGAACGCTTTGGGAAAACAACTGTTAGTGAACGGCTCCTTCTTACTGTTTCCTCTGGCTAAAAACAGCACTTCAATTCTTTTCTTTTACTGTGTTACTGTCAGCTTTCATTCATCCAGCTCCTCTCC